AAAAAAGTAAATGCTGCGATCTTAAATCCCTCTTACCTGCAAGGGGGTGACCATGGTATGAAAGCTCACTTTCGCCTGTGTGAAAGCCCAAAGGAGTGCCGGTCGTGATTGGCTCAAATTCGCAAAATCGAGAAGCGAGGCTCCCACCTGCATTCAAATGTAGTCCAGCCGACATTTGCATCACGTTGAGAGTGACTGCCTGCAGCTGAGGCAATCGGTTTGCATTCGTCTGTTGTTCATTTGAACTAAGGATGCGAGAAAATGCCCGGCCTCCTTCCTCAAACTGCATCGCTTTGGAAGAGAGGCATTTGGACCAAGTAATTCGCGCGCTTTCGTCAAACATGGCCCGTGAGTCGCACTCTATTGACGGAAGCCATGGATTTCTGGGAGTACACCGGCTGTTTCCATGCTCCTCCAGTTGATCCTGTTTTTGAAAAGCTCCCAGTCGCCAGCCTGAAAGTCCGTTCGTTTGAGGGGAGTGAGAATGAGCAGAAAACGGCCTACAGCAGAACGGCAATTCCCAGTCTGACTTTCTGGATATATCGTGTTCTCCAAACATGTCTAATAGTATACAGTACGGGAACTAAATAACGCATGAAGATTAAAAATCAAACAAAAATAAGTATGCGCAAACAGAAGGCACTCTGAATATACCACCGCGATGGAAATAAGAGTAAATCAAGAGCCAATTGGAAGTACAATTAACCGTAAGAAGACATTAAGTGAGCAAAGAATAACCGCGAAATCGTCACAATTGCTTGACTAACATGGAGGCAAACAGCGCTGTCCATGAGCCCATGTGATCAGTGGATTTGCGAACAAAGAAGCAAAACAGTAGCAGCGGAATATAAGTAAGTGCGTTAATTCATAAAGCAGCGAAAGGAGGTAGTCTCTTTTTGAACGTTACATGAATATAATGGTAATGCAATCTACAAAGGACTATGTAGTTAGTTATGTATAGTTAAGTACGGTGATGTTTTTAAGGAACCCTTACTTGTATTAGTTGTGTGTTTTCCATACAGGGAAAAGCACGCCTTCCTCCATGTACTTAACAAGATACTGCACAGTGTTCATTAAATTTTGCTATGTTCTATAAGTCATATACAGAAACGGTGTGATCTAAATGGGTATTTTGTTATCTTAAAAAGTATCATCATTTGGACCATTTTTCTAAGCAAAAATTAACAATTCTTCGAGCATAAAATGTGAAGAATACATGTCTCTAAGGAAATCTCCCCATAACTATCTCCCGGGACATCATTCGGTTCTCACAAATAAGTGAATTACCATAAGTTACATTTTCTTGATTCCAGCTCAGCATTCAAAACGTTTATTCCCCCTGTTGACAAAAATCACAAGCATGGGGGTCTTTTTAGTGCTCAGTAGAGCTCATTACGAAGTTTATGCAGGAGTAAATAAACCTAAAGAGAGAGGGAGGTACGCAATACTGGGTGTGACATGATAATTTTTTAGTAAAGACACAAACAAACCTGTAAAGCAGATACCTTTCACCTGAAAGTGTCACTGGAGGCGAAGTGGATGACTCTGTTGACCGAGTGCAGTCGACTAGAAAAAGAAACTGACTGTGAGGTGGGAGTGCTCGCTTGTCCTCCAGTCGTTGTTGATTCACCGGGTAATTGGTGAGTGGGAGGGGTTGTGTGTAGCGACAGCTAGCAAGGAATGTTGGGAGGTTGTGTGATGGTCCAGGTCTCCTGCCCACAATCCCCCGGGGGTAATGAAAGAAGCCAGATCGTCAGTTTATCACAAAAAAGCAGATGCGTGGTAAAAACTTCGAAGAGAGAACGCGCCCGCCATCACAACGACATTCTTTCGTCGGAAGCTCACCAGGAGGGATTATACATTTTTACCAGAGCGGCGCATTTCCCTGTTCTCACTTGTTTTTTTTTAAAGTAACCTTCAGTGTTCAGACTTTACTCAGTTGTGTATCGAGGGTAAACGGTCACGAGTACTGCGAACATTTTCACATCGCTCTGCGGCTGCGAGCTCTGTAGTCAGAAAGAAGAGCAATGGGACCCACAGCCAATTACCAAGGCCATAAAAGTCGGGAAAAATTCTGACACCACAACGCATAATCGTCGGCAAATTCTACCCAAGCAAACATGATGCTATGGATGAGATTATATTTTGTTTCATTAGCTAGGCTATCTGCCCTCCCCTTCAAGCCAACAAAGTTGTTTACTTGATCCACGACGGGCAGGGCGGAAAGCCTTCATATGACCACTATTAACCGCATCAAAACTGATACTTGTGCACGCGAATACACAACACCGAATAGAAAAAGATTTCGCAAGATTACAATGAAAAGTTAAGAATTTGATTTATAATAACCGGCTACAAGTGGTGTAGTGACTTAACTCCGAGGGCGACGCTCAACCTCTTGACTCTCGCGGATGCTAGCACATGCGCACTTGTAGGCCTACCCCAATCCGGTATGGCCAATCACCTTCAAGTGTGACTCAGAAAAAGACCACTGTGTATGCGCTGAAATGATTCCCACACCCACACACCACGAACGCGGGCCCTCTCACGGCCAGGCGCATGCTCCTCCGACAGTCAACTTCCTCCTACCTATTCTCAATTCCTTTTGTACAGGATATATTATTCCCTCCACCTGGCGTCCCATTTGTTCTCTTTCCGCACGAAGCCACGGCTTCAAGATCACAGAGGCAGGGGCTTTGCCTATTAGTTTAACTCACTGCGGAAGAAGCTAAAGTGTACGCTGTACTGCTTTGTTCAAATATGTGTTTTGATTGCGGAGAATGTACATAGTTAAGACCACCTCCCACTAGTCGGCACCTTCCCCAGTAATCACTGTGTCCACGTTGAGGCGTACTCTTGTGCCTTGAGAAGCCTTTCCGATGTAGATACTGCTGCGTTAGCGAAAGTCGCGACACATATTGCAATTACATAGCCGTCTCGGATGTCTTAGCAACTCTGTGTAGGCACAGGGTCGACTGGGATGCTGGTAGGGTGAGCGCGAGCTGCTTGCGTCATGGTCCAGTGCCCGTCAGTCGGTGCAATTATCCCTTCTCCCCCCTCCCTTCCTCCCCTCACCCCACCTATATTCGGTGCTGAGTCTTGGCGTAGGAAAAACAATTAACCATGCGAACAGCGCATATACTGACACTTTTTTCCAACGCCAGAGTCAGTGAGCCAGCTGCTCGCGCCATTACCACACCAATAGCAAACATGGGTGATGCAATTTCGGAGAGTAACGATTTAAATGCTTACCGTCGAAGCGGTATCGCACTCAGAGCAACTATCCGCAATGAAGAGGGAACCGTTAACTGACCTCGTTATGTGGTAGCATAGTGGCTGCATCCTGTAAATATTGCAACGCCCATCTAGGAAACATCTATCGCAATGGGTGGAGTTAATAGATAAAACCCTTGCCGGCAGGATCTTCCGGACCGTTTTTGTGTGGGAAGAGACCAAAGTGCGGCGCCGAGTAGAAGGAATAGTTTATTCTGTACAGAAGTGCACAATCACTTGCGAGAGGGCCGCGTGCAAAGTATGTGAGCTTGGCAGTTATTACAGTCTACAGGGCTGTTTTGTGTGAGTCAAACTTAAATGTGATTGGCCAGACCGGGTAAGACAGTCACTCGTTCATGTGCACTTGCTAACAGCCGAGCGAGGCAAGCGTTCGCGAGCACTGGGGTCACTACATACCCGTATCTCATGCTACCTCTGATGGTAGGTTTTGAGCATGAATCTGAAACATCAGGGAGGTAAAGTTCTTGCTCCAGTGATCGCGTCCATTTCTTACTCCGTTTTATTTCCCTCGCCATGCTACTGGATGGCTGCCGAGAGGGGTGAACAGTAATTGGCGTCAACTACCAACTTCGCGACCGCTTGCACAACAACCGATGCATGCGCGCACCCGCGCGAGACCCTATCGCAGAGGAAGGGGAAGGTAAATGAAACCCTGGTAGCTGCGATCTTCGGGGCCGGCTCCGAGCAGCAACTGGCAGGACGTCGG